GAGGTGCAGGGGCGGTGAGAGGATTCACCAGAGACAGAGTGGGGAGCAGAACAGGCAGATGAATGAAGTCCACTGCTGAGGGGAGCAGCGGGCGGGTCAGGAGAGCTCTGCCGTGAGTGAGGGTCCTCTGGGCTGGGGACTGAAGCGGCTGGTGCTCACTTGCAGTGCTGCGCTTTAACCTGTTGGCCACCAGAGAGGGCCCAGGATGGTAAAATTATTAATAACCTCCAGTAATATATTTAATAATAAACTATAATTCTAAAATCTACTCCCTGGAAAGAAGACTTCATTTTAAGCGAGGATGGGAAAATTATAAAAATAACCCTAAAAGGGCAGCTCTCCTCCCTGCGGACTGTGACTACGCAGGCATCTCTCTAGTTTTCCTTTCTCCTTTTCATAATAATGCTGTCCTTTTAAAATGTAAAAAAAAACCTACTAGATGTAAGTTAAAATAGTACAAGTCATAGTCTCTCATCATAACGTAAGCCAAGAAATAAAGTAGAAGCACAATGTTAACTCTTTGAGAATGTCAAGACTTTCTATCAAATTACTCTTGAACAAAAAATAAATGTTGGGTTCTCCCTGGTGGTGCAACAGGTTAAGTCTCAGCTCTATGAAGCTGTCTGCAGCCACCGCAGCACCAGTTGGATCCCTGGCCAAGGAGCTGACCCACATGGTGCCGCAGACTTCTTCTGCCTCCTCACTGCTCCCCTCAGCAGTGTGTTTCATTCAATTTGCCTGTTCTGCTCCCTACTCTGTTGCTGGTGAATCCTCTCACCTCCCACACCTCTGGCCTGTACTCCAGTTCTTGTATGCATGAATAAATACATCTTTTAATGAATAACTAAATAAAAGTATAGACCATTGGGGAAATAATGCTGATGAAAACATTACATATCAAAATCCATGAGCAGAGATAGATTTGTATGCTGAGGAAAATGCCCAGGCTTAACACACTCTTTACTGAAAAGGAAAAAAAAAAAACCCAACACTAAAACATAGCAGTTTGACCAAAAAGCATCATTTTTCCTTCACAAGTTCCCTGCAGTGGTGATTCTGTTCATCTTCCCTAAACCAAGTCTCTAGTTAGGCCAGACACTCAAAGATGCAAAACAATAAATGGCAATAACTGAGAGGCTTATTCGGAGCCTTGTAAGATATTAAATATTCGGTTGTTTATTTCAAAACTTATACTGAGGTATAACTCAAATACCACATGCACTTCACCCACTTAAGGAGTTTAAAATTCGGTGTTTTTTAGTATCTTCACAGATTCATGCTCCCACCACCACCATCAATTTTAGAACATTTTCAGCACCATTAAAAAACCCAGAGCCACCCCCACCCCGCTCCTGGCAACAGCTGATCTGGTCTGTCTCTGGATTTCTCTAGTCTGGAAACTCCATATAAACGGAATCACGTAATCTGCAGGTAGAGGAGAGTGGAGGGTGCTTACTGGTTCAGGGTGCTGAAAAAATTTTGGAGCCAGATGGCTCCTGCTGGGTGGTCACAAAAGAACATGGTTAATGGGTCCATGTTAAACGTATTAAAATGGTCACTTTTGTGCTCTGTGTTCTTTCCCATAATCATCAGAAACGTAGTATTGGTGAAGTCATTGGACACAATGAGATCTAATTTAGGAATTAGTCATGCATATTTTTGTCACATTGTATTAGGAGAAAACAGTAAACGTTACCAGTGAAATATCAGCCAAAACAACAAATATTTTAGTTCATTTAACTAAAACAAGGGGTTTAGGCATTTTGTTTCTTCAACAAGGTGTACTAATTTTAACAAAACAAACATAAGGAGTTTAAAAATGCTTTTGCTATAAATATGCAACGTGCTGTTTCGCCTCTCAGGAGACTGCTGGTTGAGGGAGTGGGAAAGCCTGCGAAGGCCGGGTGAGGAGGCTGGTTCACCTAACGCTCTTTCTGTTTTACTTACTGACCAGACAAGAAAGATGGGCTCCAGCTTCCCAAGTCCTCAGCAACAGCCAGCCACATGGGCAGTAAGCTTCTTCCCTTGCCCTTTGGGCCCTGGTGGGAGGAGAGGGGGTTCACTCAGGAGGGAGGGGCGAGGCAGGGGGTGCAAATCCCCGAGGTGTCTCTGGCCTGAAGGTGCTAACGCTGTAGGGAATGGCATGAAAGTGTAGAGCAAAACCAAGGCATCTACCAGGTTGGGCTACACGTCCCTCTGCTTCATGAGAAGGACCTTCGCGGTGTCTGATTGGTCTGGGACTTTCAGAAATGATATGACTCAAGAATGCCACAACCAACCATTCAGATGGCAGCTTGTGATACTGGCTACATGTTAGTCATCTTCAGGATTTCCAGGCCCTTCCTGGCCTGGCCCCATCCAGAGTCAACTAAAACCAGTGCTGGGCACGGGAACCCTAAGTGTTCAAAGCCCACCCCCCACCCCACCCCCAACTCTGTTGTGCAGAGAAGGTTGAAGGTAACGGCCTGAGACACTTGACTCTAAGTATGAAACATCTTCCATCTGCCAGTACTCAAGCTACTCCATTTTGCAGATATAAACCTTAGGAGGAATAAAAGTCTTGCTCCCCAAAAGAACTCTCCAGAAGTTCTGTTACAAAAGCTAAATGGAAGGGAGAAACACCAGGAGACGGGTGAACCTCACTGCCATTCATTCACTCCCCACTCAGCTTTCTTAGGGTCTGCTATCTTGGGGAAACCAAGATGAAAGGAAGGTGTGATGCTTCGCCTTAGAAAGCTTGTGTGGCTGGGCCTCCCTGGTGGTACAATGGGGTGTCTCATGCTACCACTGCTACAGCCTGAGCTCAAACCCCAGCCCTGGAGCAGACCCACATGGTGCAGCAGACCTCTCCGGATGTGCCTGCTGCTCCCCTCAGTAGTGTGCTTCATTCCATTTGCCTGTTCTGCTCCCCATTCTGTCTCTGGTGCATCCTCACCCCCACACCTCTGGCCTGTACCCCAGTTCTTGTACACATAAATAACTAAATCTTTTTTTGTCCAAGAATGTCCAGCCAGGAAGTCTGTGCAGTTAAACAACTCCCTCCCCCCAAATAGTTACCCATCCCACTCCACCCCCAACATCAATGCAGCACCGGTGATGATGTGCAAGGATTTTTTCTACCGCTAGGTGGTGATCTTGCTTGCAACGACCAAGGTTTCTCAAATAGCCTGTGGTAGCACAAGAAAATTAACCCCAAAGGGTTCTAGGTGGATGATTCATTAGCAGAGAAGCTGCTATTTGCAAGCAGCAAGAGAAAGTGCTCGTAGCAAAAGCATTCCTCTTGGTTCTGATGTCTGACTGTAGAAGGAAATACCTTTATACTTTCCAAGAAAGAAAGCTGCTTTTTGTGTGTGTGTGTGAAGCTACTGTATATTTTAAAACCAGTTCCTGCTTTTCCTTTGGGTCTACAGGGAAGTGGCATTGCTATATGGTACATTTTTTGAGGGACACTCATCCTGTTCTCCATCATGACTACACCACCTTACTTCCTTACTTTCCCACTTACTGTACCCAGGGGTTCCTGTTTCCCACATCCTCAACAACACTTGTTTGGGTTTTGTTTTTGGTTTAGAATGCGTGTCCGAAGCGTGTGAAGTAGCATCCCTAATGACCAGTGAGGCTGAGCTTCTTTTCCTGAGTTGAATGCCATCTTTCTGTGGTCTTTGGAGAAATGTCTGTTCAGGTAGGTCTTCTGCTGGCTTTGAATCAGATTGTTTTGTTGCCATTTGGTTGGAGATGTTCTTTGAATAGTCTGGATATTAGCCCCTGACCAGATCTATGCTTTGCAAACATTTGCTACTGCTTCCTGGGATGCCTTCGCACTCTGCTGATAGTGTGCTCTGCTCCACAAAAGGCTTTCACTGTAAGACAGTCCAATTTATTCCTTATTCTTTGCTACCTGTGCTTTGGTGCCACCTTTAAGAGCAACCTAACAATCTGACAGTGCAGTGCTGTTCTCCAGAATGGCTCTCTAGCCCTAAAATATTAGAAATTCTACATCAGTCTCCAAGCAGGAAATGTGCCCATTCCATTTGAAAAAACTGCGGGTGAGTTGAGTTGGAAAATGTGGTTTTAATTAGGAAGTTTGCTGCTAGTGCTGAGAAAGTTCGCTTGAACATTATCTTTGTGTCGTACCCGTGAGTGAGTAGTAAGAGACCCTGCGTCAGCCAGTCAGTCTCCAGGCTTCCCCAGAAGATGTAAAAATGCGTGTCCTAGCTCTCTCAGTCAATAGGTGGGCCCACGGGATAAAAGCAACATATTTTCATTACTGGGTGAAGCTCAGTCCTCCTCAGAATGTCTTGTAAGGAGCAGAAGGGTGAGGCATGGCTCTGTTGACAAGACGCGGGGGACATGTCTGAGACAGGTGCTTTTGAAAGCGTAACAACACACAGCATCCTAAATGTGTCTGAAGTGCATATACGTGACAAGAACATAGAATTCAATGTATGCTTCAGAAAACAAAGGTGGATTCGGTGAGCGTGTGACACCCATCACAGGAGCGGGAGGGAGGTCCCCAGGGTGCCTGCAGCGCGACAGAGCTTCTCCTGGTACCAGACTGCCCAAAACTTCAAGGATGGTCTGTAGAACGTGCTGCTCAACCCCCAAGGACTTGTTTTTTCACTCATTTCTGGCATCCATAACTCACCTACATTTACTCTATGTGATTTAAAGAAGTTTCTTACACTTTCCCAAATTTGCAAGCAGCCCATCTCTTTTCAGTGAGCACATGTGAAAATGTCTCCCTCACATAAAACCTAGGCATTCTCCAGTTGCCCAAAGCATTTGAGGTCTTAAAAATACACTTTTATGCTTGGGGTTGTCAAACTTTAACACTCAGGCATTTTTATATTAAAATGTAAGTCGATCTTTTCCCAACACATTTTACTGTATGTAGAAAACGGTTCTAAAATACATGCATGCAAGTTATACCTTATGATTCTGCTTCATGGAGAGTGCGGATAAAATAATAATAATAATAATACTTTAGAGTTACTACTCACCGGGGGGTGGTGAAGCGTGTAATAATGGTAATAATCGTTGCCTCTTTTTGATGGTGTAACCTGTTCAAGACAAAGAAAAATAAATGTAATATATTTTCCACCTACAGGTGGCAATATTTCTACAACATCACCTTGACTAAAAGATAGTTGCAAAAAGACTTTAAACTTTTCATTAGGGAACATTTCAAGCGTGAGCACAAATAGAGAGTAGGTCCAGAACCCCAAGTACCCACCACCCACTCTCACAGTTACCTCCACCAGTCTGGTTCCAACTGGATTACTTTGAAGCAAATCCCAGACAAAGATAATTAAGAGAAAGCCATGACATCATCTATAAAGCACCCCCAAAGAACGCTAGTAGCACCATGGGGGTCTTAAAAAATAAACAAGAAACAAGCAAGGTGCAGGCTTCCTGCTGTGAAAATGAAAAGCATTAGGCACCATCTCCTATCAAATGTGCTGTGCTAAAATGCTAGCAAATAATGTGAGTGTATTTGTATTCTATAGGCAGAGTTTATAGGGGTGAAATAAAAGGTGCTACTTGATGTCTGGAGGAGAGAACCCTCTTTAAAGAAAGTGATGACTAAGTTACAGAAACCACCAAAGAGCGAAATGGTAGAATAACTGACATCCTTTCTTGAGGTTAAAAAGTGATAAGACCAAGTTAGAAGTGTGTGCAAAGTGAGTGATTAGATATATAAAGGGGATATGAGTAAGCAAGGGGAATGGAAAATTACCGACTTGTTAGAACAAAGCAGTGACAGCTGCGAGCTCTAAAATTAGGAACAGAGACAAGAAATTTTCAGAGCACCACCAAACAAATCACAAAGGCTTCATCCACCCGGCACCTTGCAGAAGACTTTAACCTCTCAGCGTGTGGGATGCAAACGGCACCTGCCAGGATGAGCCCTCCGTGGCTGTTCATGTCCCAGACCTGGATGCACACCGAGTCCAGGGCCCCTGCTCTGCAGAGGGCAGTGCTTACTCATCTCTTGAAAGACCTTCATGCTTTCTATGATTTACCGACATGTTTCAGGTTTTACAATCTGAAAGTCCAGCATGTGGCCCAGCCCAGACTCTGGAAAACACGCGATTCCCTAAAGCACTCTCGGTGTATCAAGGGAGCTCACAAGGCATTAGGTGGCCTATCCGTGCACCACCTGCAGTAGAAACTGAGAGGATGCTACTAAAAAATATAACTAAAAAAAAATCCCACATAGTGATCTTTAGAGAGCCCTTCTGTTCTCAGGATGAGTACAGAGCAATTTTAGGAATTCCCAGTCAGGCCACTGTCCCAGAGTGACCCAGGACATCGGCCAAGCCTTTAGGACTTTTGTTTTCTTCCCCCAAAAGAGAGTTCGTAGCTCTCCTTGCTTCCTTGAGTCACAGGAAAGTCGCGAAGGAGAGCCAAGGAGGTGATCTTAAGCACACTTTGAAAAGTTTTAAATCCTAGCAGTTGGCTGGGCAGAGGGTTTATTTCATTATTGAGGGGGGCTGTTTTTTATGGTCACTGATAACAGCAAATTGCCCCCTAAGGCTGCTCTTCCCTAATCTGGGTCTTCCGAGACAGCTCAGCTATGGCAACACATGGCCACTTTGTTTAAGCCAAATGGGTCTTCTAAATAAATTACAGTAGCAAGAAACTTAACTGACAGGCACTTACTCAGTGACTTGGTATTGGGCACCTAGCAGCCTCGGGGAGTACATCACAAAGCAGCTAACTTGGGGCCTCCTTTGTAGATTCTGGGACTGGTCTTGATTACATCTAAATTAGAACTCTTAAATCATGTCTGAAGTGTCTGGTTTCATGTCCTCTTTTGCTTTCAAGAAACCAGGAAAAAACTGTTACTTAGATTTCTCTCTCTCTCTCTCTTTTTTTTTAAGATTTATTTATTTATTCATACAGAACTGGGGTATAAGCCAGAGGTGCCGGGGCGGTGAGAGGCTTGACCAGAGACATAGTGGGGAGCAGAAAAGGCAGATCAACAAAGTACACTGCTGAAGGAAGCAGCAGGCAGAAAAGGAGAGGTCTGCCGCGCCATGTGGGTCACCTCCGGGGTGGGGATCGAACTCGCACTGAAGCAGCTGCAGTGAGCTTGCAGTGCTGTGTCCTAACCTGTTGCACCACCAGGGAGGGCCCCGTTTCTTAGGATTTCTATTAAAGGACAGATGTGGCTGCCAAATGGAAAAAATTATCTAGGTCCTAGTATATTTCAGGTTAGTAACTTGCTTTAATTTTGACATATTTGCTCCAAAGAAAGAAATTTATGGTTTCTGCCATTTTCCAGACCACCTGAGAGCCAGGAATTTCTATCACTTCTCCAAAAAGCTGAAATACTACTGCCATTTATGATTTCCACTGTAAAACGCCAAGCAGTGAAAAGTAAGATGTAAGGAAGAGGTCATAAAAGCATGATGCAAGGTAAGGTATTGGACTTACTAAAGAGGGAAAAGATACTTTTAAAGTATAACCTTACTGTTCAGAAGTATTGTCACTGGTAGCAGACTGACACTGTTAGAAGCCCTCTCAACTGCCCTTCAGGGAAAGGGAACAGTTCTCAATCCCTTTATGTCAGCTGTGATTCCTCAATTGGAAAAGTGAGCCAGTGTGGACCAGGGAGAGGCCAACACGCTGAAGATCAGAGCTTCTATTTCAAGACCATGGACATGTGGGGCTTGTTGTGAGGTTGTCTTGTGCACTATAGGATGTTTACAGCATCCTGGCCTCTTCCCTCCAGACATTGGGGGCACCTGTCCCCCAGCTGTGACATCCAAGATGTCCCCTGACATTACTAGATGTCCCTGAAGAACGGAGGGTCACTGAAGCAGAAACTGTCACCAGCTGAAACTCAGTTGGTTATGACACATAAGTTGGGGTGCCATCTGGCACAATCACTAAAGACTGATGAAGAAACTGTCTACTGAGGCTCACTTGGGAAATTCCAAATTTCCCATGTATGAGTGGAAGCTCCGACACTGGTTAAATAACCAGACTCCAACACAGTCAGAGTGTCTGTGAGGGAGCCATAAGCCATTTCAGTTAAGTTCCTTTTCCTGACATCATTATTTTTCTGGAACTGACGACTCCAAAACTCCAGAGTGGCATGAGTCCACTTACATGAGGGCCCTGGAGGAATCAAATTCATAAAGGCAGAAAGTAAAGAAGCCCTTGACAGGGCAGAGGACCCAGGAAGCTGGTGTTCAGGGGGTACAGAGTTTCTGTTTTGCAAGAAGAAAAAAAATCTGAAGGTTGGTTCCCCAACTTAACACAAGTGAACTGTACACTCAAAGTGGTCACGGTGATAAACTGTGTTATGTGTATTTTACCACATAAATCAAATAAATTAGGGGGTTCACCTCACCTGTAGTTGAGTGAGAGTGAATATTCTGCACACCCAACCATCCCTCTTACTTGATCCCCCGAGAAAGAACTGTTTGGCCAGGCTTTCAATATGCCCAAACAAACACAGGCAGGATGGGGTGTGGCATTCCCCCAGGCTGCCAGCAAGAGTGGGAGGTCAGACACCCACCCCTGACCCAGTTAACCCTAACCCCGTGTGCGGAATCATGGCCAATGTTCATCCAAACCACATAGCTGAAGCAGGCAGAGAAACAAGCTCCAGACAAGGGTGGGAAGAGACTCAGAGCAGACTAAACAATGACTGAGAAGTCTAATATTCAACCACCAGAACTGCAATCTACTGTCCTAGTCCTCTCCTGTTACCCTGTCACCAAGTTGAGACTGAGCTGGCTGCACACACACAGGGCTGGGGATACCATCCAGTGCAGTCATTGCGACAATTAATAAAGAATCGAGCCTCTGCAAAGGGAGAAATCTATGATTTCTACAAAGTCAGTATGTTGAATTAACAGCCTGACTGACGTCACCTGGACACGGGTTGAGAGTTACCTTTATTCACTGCCTTATCCATGAACACATTAGACACTGGACATCAGGCGTCAGAATGTCACCAGCAAAGCCAGCCACATGGGCTTTGGAACTGAAACTGAGTTCACAGCACACCTCCACTGTTTCGGAGGGGGATGCTTCACTTCCGGGAGCCTCTATATCCTTGCAAAAACGAGCCCAGGTGATAACGTACAGCATAGGTATTAGGCAAATTTCTTTGAAAAGACAGATGCCAGTGAATAATCAAGGACATATAGTGTTAGCGTGGGCAGCAGGGAAGATTGTTCTCTCTCGGGCCCCCTGCAGGACTTCACAGAAACAGCCAAGACCAATGTCATTTGTGGCCAGAAGGCTGCTGTGGTTGTTCCTTCATCCTCACCTTCACTCTCTCCTGCCTCTCAGTGCTCTTGCTCAGGGCATGCCCAATCCTACACAGTGCCCTGCACTCTGCACCTTTCTCCACCAAATTTGTTTCTCTTTATTCAGGACAATCAGTGCCCAGGACTTCTTGCCATGCAACTTTTCGCTTTTGCTCCTAATCTATACCCCTTGTATTTCACAGGTGGATCTCCAAGGAGAGAATCTGAAGCCTTTTCAGATGACTTCGTTTCACTTAGAATATCTTTTAACTTTCCTCCATATCTTTCATGATTTCACTGATCTTTTCAGTGCTGAGTAATATTCCCTTGCCTGGATGTACCACAGGTTATCTAGTCACCTACTGAAGGACATCTTGGTTGCTTCCAAGTTTTGGAAATGACTGGATTACCGTAACGTTAGACGTTTTGAAATCAGACAATGTCAATCTTCTGGCTTCTTTTCTCTCTTTCAGTATTGCATTTACTATTCTGGGTCATCAGTCTCTCCAGATAAACTTTAGAAATAGTTTGTTGGATCTACAAAATAACTTGCTGGGATTTTGATTGGGGTTGCAATGAATCTATATATTAAATTGGGAATAACTGACATCTTGATACTACTGAGCATTCCTGTCCATGAACATAGAATGTCCATTTATTTAGATTGTCTTTGATTATTTTCATTAGACTTTTGTAAACTTTTCTTGTGTAACTTTTCCATATTTCCATTTTCCATACTTCAGAAATTACATATCCTAAGTATTTCATTTGGGGAGGTGCTGATATAATCA